CGCTCTCCGCTCTCCGCTCTCCGCTCTGCGCTCAGCGCTCTCCGCTCAGCGCTCCCCGATCTCCGCTCACCACTCACCGCTCAGCGCGGGAGCTGCTTCCGGCCGCCGCACAGGGAGGGAAACCCGGTCTCACTGAGCTGACGAGGCAGAGCCCGGGGTCTGGGGAGGCCAAGGAGGTTGGAGTTCCCAGGCAAGAGGACCAGGGAGGAGAGAGCTACGAGACGCGAGAGAGAGAGAGAGAGAGAGAGAGAGAGAGAGAGACAGAGAGAGAGACAGAGAGAGAGAGCGCGAGCGAGCTCCACAGACTTGCAGAGCGATATTTAGCGCTGTTCACCACATGCGTGTGGGGAAGCTGCTAAGGCTGAGGAAAAAAACAGCAAAAAGGAGCAAGTAGAACAATGCTCAGAGCTCGCACAGGCTGGGGAACAGTCCACGCTCCCACCAGCCAGAGCCTGAAAGAAAACCCTTGAAATGTATGAGGTACCGGCTACAGTTCTCCGAAGATTATTGCCTGGGTAGCGGACCCGCGTTAACCCTAGACTAAAGGCTGCTCTGGACTTGGAAATAATGTGGTCCTTTTGAGGCTTATTTCCAAGTCACCTAACCGCATTCCAGAACAAAATTGAAAAATGTTTAAAGAAATGCAAAAACAAATGGATTAAATAAAAATCCAGCACACAACAGCATAAAATTCACAATAGCTGATACCCAGTCAAGAATTACCAGGCATGCCAAGAAGCAAGAAAACTTGGCCCATAATAACGAGAAAAAAATCAATCAATACAGACTCAGAAATGATACAGATCATAGAATTGATAGAGAAGGACATTAAGACATTTATTATGTTTTATATGTTCATAAGGCTAGAGAAAAGATCAAGCATGATAAACAGAGTCATGGAAGATATTAAAAAGAGCACCCAAATCAAACTCCTAGAAATGAAACCTACGATTCTTCAGAGGAAAATGACAGTAGATGGGATTCACAGCAGATTAAGCTCCGCAGAAGAAACTCTCAGTGTCATAGCAATAGAAAATTAGAATGTGGTCCCTCTCCTCTCCATATACTCCAAGTGCTAATTTCTACACAGTACATCTGGGCTCACTCAAGCATCATAATAATGTTGTTCCACAAAGTTTTGATTTCACTCCATCTCTGAAAGAAACATCCAAAATGGTAGGAGAATCAACTTAATTATACACACACACATATATGTATACATATAGACATTATATACATATGTATATATGTGTATATGTATTTTTATATGTGCTTACATATGCATAAAAGGTTTCTTGAAGGATACCCAAGAAATTGATAACTTTGGCTGCCTCTAGCGAAAGAAAGTGTCTGAGGCAGGGGTGAAGGGAGATTGTGCATTGTACCTTTTTACCCTTTATATCCATTGGACTGTGGGAATGTATTACTTATTCAAAACATAAATAAAATGTGGAATAAACTGTAGCTGCTGGTCCCAAGGGGACTCAACAACAGAGTGAATGGAATCAGGAGGAAGTGGGGGCCCACAGCCACTTGGATGACTAGATGCCCAGGGCTGTGTCCCGGAGCAGGCAGGGATCCAAGGTGCTGTCTGTGGTGGGCCAGGTGGAGCTGACGCAAGCTTGGGGGCCCCCGAGAGAGCCGGACAGTTGCCCCAAGGGATAGTAAGCAGCACATCCTAAGTTGGGGTATTAGGTCAGTCTCAACCCTGACCTACACTTGAAGCAGCACATGAGTCATCAGTCCTACAGTGCTCAAGTAGATTCCGGCTTAAAGGACCAGTAGGTAGAAGTTACACGGATATAGATTTCTGTTCAATATACGGAACATTCTAAAATCAGAACCACCTGGGAGGTAGTGAGTTCACTGCCTCTGGACACGTGTAAATACTGAGGGTCCCACTGCAGGGATGCCACAGAGGAGATTCAGCATCCCATGGCTGATGGCACCACATACATAACCTTTAGAGTCCCTTTGCATACATATGGAGAGTGACGAGACAGGTGATATTTGTCCCCTCTCTCTTTTGCAATGTGAAGAACAAGTCAGACAAGACTTGGAAACAAGTAGCATTTGCACATAACTCATCAGGTGTCACTCACTGATGAGAAGTTTTTAGGAATATCCATATTTTCTAAATAGTAGGAGCAATTCTTTTACTGATGGCACAGGATGGGACTTTTTGCTACCTTTGCCTAGACCTGCACCTGCCAGGGGAAAACGATATTCTAATATGGCAATTCCGTGTTTAATTAAAGAGACTAGGAAACAAAGAGAAGGAATTCTGAGAAATATGTACTGCTCCTCCCACCCCGGAAAAGTTGTTTTTTGGTGTTTTTTTGTTTTGTTTTGTTTTTTTGTATTCACCACAAAGGTAGCAAGAGAGACAACAAAGAGCTAGATAAGGGAAGGAAATCTCTGTCTGGGACTCAGCCAAATAAACTTAAATGGTTTAAGGAATAAATTGGTGGCGTAATTCGAATCATGGGCAGGTGCTATGAATGTAATTTAGTAAATGCTCGGGAACCTGCCAAGGAAGAGAAAAATGTGTTGCTTTTGAGATCATTTCCCAACAGCTTCATAAAAGAAAACTGATTACAGGAATTTAATAAATAAAACAGAGCCAGAAATATAGTAATCAAATGAGTTTTTAATTACATTTCAGGCAGAAAAAAAATTCCAATTTGTGCTCCTGGGATTAAAAAAAATAAGTTCTAGAGAAATGCTTTTGTAGCAAGAAAATAACATAAACACTAATTTCCATAGGAATTATAGTAGTCAGTTTAATTAAAAGGCTTGATCAGAGTGAAGAGGACCAGTGCCAAACTATACTAAATAAAACCATGGCATTCATTGCTACCCCACACTATTGTCCAAATAAAAACACTGTGCATTGAGCAGAAAGCAGTAACCTGCATTTTTCTCATGAAAATAAAGGGGATTTTGATCACTACCTGAGTTATCATGTTGCTATGTTTTATTTTCGTATGGAATGGCTGATAAATCTGATTTAGAATTGAATGTTGGTTGGTGTAATAAAGACCGCTTTTAAGAGAGAGAATATGCTCTGTTTAAAAGACGTCTGTGCGAAGGGACCCCACTTCAGCCAGGTTGGAGGGCTCACGGCTCAGTAGGATCCCTGGTTACTTCTGGGCTTTTCGACAACCACTTAACTAACACCCAGTTGCATTTAACTCATATCCTGCAGTGAGGGCTATTTGAGGGGATAGATCAGGTCTAACTGGTGATTTGCAGTCATGTTTAGGGAAGGACACTCTCTACATGAAGGGCTATTCTTTCCTCCTTTGGGAGGCTTTGCTATGAACCTCCCCCTAACCACACATCCTGCTTGGAAAGAAGGCTGTTCCAGAGGTATGCTAACATTGCAGTGGCTTTGTTCCCCTTGGGATGAAGGGGACACACACCTGCAAGGTGTCTACATGGAGCAGGGGGTGGGGGGATCATCTGTGGCTACAGCACGCAGACCCCAGGTATTGGGCGGGAACACTGTCTTTCCATGAACTAACACCCCCACACCTCCACCATCCTTGTTTTATTCATTGCTCTGTTCCAAGATAGAGGCCATCCAAGTTTTGTAAAGCTGGAAGTTTATACCATTAAGGAGTAGGGGACTCTTTTTTTTTTTTTTTAGTAACAAAATTAAGTGGGGCGCCTGGGTGGCTCAGTCCTTAAGCTTCTGCCTTTGGCTCAGGTCTTGATCCCAGGGTCCTGAGATCGAGCCCCGCATCGGGCTCCCTGCTCAGCGGGAAGCCTGCTTCTCCCTCTCCCACTCCCCCTGCTTGTGTTCCCTCTCTTGCTGTGTCTCTCTCTGTCAAATAAATAAATAAATAAATAAATAAATAAATAAATTTCAAAATTAACTAAAGGAGAAAATATTTAGGAGAGTCTCCTGCAAGTAGGACCCTGAGTCCGGGGTTGGCCTCCAGCCTCAGCCTGCATGTCCTCTTCCGTCCTGCTCTCCGTGGCACCCCGGCCCTCTCTTCCCCACTCCTGTCTCCCTTCGCTTGCGTCCATCCCTGTTCGTGTTCACATCCACATCTGTACGTGTAGCACAGCTCCCAGATCCTTCGTGGGAAAAATGAGCACCCTCTCTTCTTTCAGGATGTCCCCTGGCCTTTCTCATCCGGTGAGTCCACCCAGCACCATCTGTGGTGGAGCAAATGGAAGGTGTGTCTTGGTCAAAACTGAAGTTCATGGTCTACTGAGATCTGGAGGTCTCCATGGCAGGCGACAATATACGTATTAGTAGTCATGTGTGAGCTGGATATTTTGTGTCCTGTCTTGTCCGCTGTGGATTAAAAACAGGATCATAATCTAACTGGCTGGCACCCTGGGAGTAGTACATAGCCCCACCCCCCACCCCACCCCCGTCTTATTTTTCCCTTTTCCCTATGGCTCTATTAATGTAACACAGTGGCGTTACATGCATATTTGCTTCTTGTAAATAGCTCGTGTTTACCAAAATAATTACCACTTTTCATTTCTTGCAGCCAGTTTCCATTGTCCTCACCAGTGAAAGCTGGAAAATCGTGTCAGTGACTCGGGTTCCTCTCCTCCACCTGTTTTTTTGTTTTACTTCAGGCGTTGGTGAAGGTCAATGTGAAACTGAAGCCGATGCTGGATTCCGTGGCGGCGAACAGAAGTAAGTGGGAAGAGCTGCACCAGAAAAGGCCGCTGGCGTCGGCTGCCTCCCCCTCCTCCGCCAGCCTCTTGCCGGCCGCCGGGGAAGACAGAAACTAACCGTCCAGCTTCGCGGCCGCCGCAGAATGACAGTGTCCTGAAGGGCCGACCTCGGTCCAGTCGGCGGCATCCCTTGGCCCCTTTTCGCTCAGGCAGATGAGGTCTCAGTTTGCGCGGGGAAGCACGCCTGGGCTTTCCCCTTGAAGGGGGGTCAACAGAGGAGAGCGCGGCCCAGAGGGACGCAGCCGCAGGCGGGGAGGGAGCGCGGCCCGGGCCCTGGGCTTTCCCCGCCGGCCGGCCGCCGAGCACCCAGGGCCTGAGGCTGAGCCGGGGCGCTGGGCAGACGAGCCGGCGCCTGAGGACAGCCGGCCCTGCTCCTTCCCCGCCCAGGGAGCCCGGAGCAGTGAGGACGCCCTTAGCGCTGCTTCACTTCCTATCCCGCCCTTGATTTGTTACAGGCCACGCAACGCCTGCCTTTGCATCCTCTCCTCAGCGCTCTTTTGTGCCACACTGTCCCAAGAATCCCACTTTGTATTCTGTAGAGGTATCTTATTTTTATCCCAAAGCTTCTTAATGATGGATCAGAGCCTTTAGAATCGCCTCCCTAAGATATAAACTATAGTATCCTTACAGATACCAATCATGTCTAGTTTCCCCCTAAAAGGCCCATAGTAGGGAGACAGCAGATGTGTTTGTGTGACTGGTGTTTATACAACACTCATAACACTCCATGGGGATTGCGGTTCCCTTTTTCAGTTTTTTAAAATTCAACCTTCCTTGTAGACCAAGTTTTCTCCCAGGAGGAATGGGTTAAGAGACTTTAATTAAAGGAGGAATGAAAGGACGTCCACAGCTGGATTTACCACAGGTGACACATGAATACTTAGGAACTCTTCCCAACAGCAGGGACATTTTCCAGACACAGCAGAACCATGGAGAACGATCACGGACTACCTTGAGTTCTCTTAGGGGTAAGTTTTTGTAAAGCATTTAAGGTTCCGACCAAAACCAACCTAAAGCCAAATGCAGTGGTCCTCAGTTTTCGATTTTTCCTTAAGTGTAAGAAATGATGCTTGAAAAGTGAAGAAATAACAGTCTGGCCAGAGGACAAATATTTTCTAGGAAACTAGGTTTATAATTAGAATAGACGATATTAAATTGATGCAATGACTACAAAACTACTTTGCTCCCCATTTTACCTGAGAGGTTGAGGATGTGGTTTGATTTGTCCAAAGAACACTGGACTAGAAGCTAGACTTCCTGCCCTGGCTTTGGCACGACTGATCAGGTGACTGTAGACAAGTCACCTAACTTCTCCCAGCCTGTTTCCACATCTGTTGAATGAGATTATATTAGGAAAAGATTTTCAAACATATTTTAACCTTAGAACTCCTTGTGCAAATAAGCCTTACGAGGACTGTCCAAGATATAAAACGTCTAAAAACTGAAATTTTCTGCTTGAAGCCAGGTTGGGGGATCCAGAACCCTGTAAATTCTCCTCTCTTTGATTACATATGTGGCGGTCCATAAAGGAGCTCTGAGAAGTTGAAAGGTTCCTGGACTAGATGAACCTTGAAGTCCATTCCAGCTCTGGAAAATCCCAAGTTCACCATTTTTGTTCTTGTTTTTACTGGTCAATATCAGTTATTAACTTGACTCCCCAAATATTAAAGAAATAAGGACCACGTTCCACAAAGAGCACTGTTCCCCCAGAGGCACACAGTAGACATTCCGGAAATGTTTAAAGAATGGGTAAAGGAAGGTACCAAAACAGGAGTGAGGGAAGAGCGGGTATCGGGAGGGAAGACGTAAGATTCTTCATGGCAAGAAATAAAGTATCAGAAAATTATAAACCAGGCAAGCGGCGGGGGGGGGTGAGCGAGGAAGATGAGGAGAAGCAAAAGACACCCAAAAAGAAACAGACGCTGAGGCAGCTGGTAAGAGGACTGCCAAAGGCCAAGTAAACAATCCAAACAAAGAAAAATGGTGCCTCTACCCCCCAAAATGAGGACGCAGATTCCTGTCATCAATTGCTTAGAAAAGAGAGACACTTGAGGGGGGTTTGGCCAAAGAGAGGAGGGAGTGGGAGCCTGAACAGTAAGGTTCCCAGCTCACCTTCACAAGTGCCTCTGCAGGCAAGGCTGGAGGAGCTGGGCGAGAAAATGAGTGCAGGGAAATTGCCTCCACAGAGCAGGTAAGAGGAGCTTGTTCAGATTTATGGATTTTATTAAGCCAGTTTTCTGAATCGCTCTGTTAGAAAGGAAAATAGCTTCTGCCGCACCGTCTCGCCTCCTTCAGGTGAGGAACAAAGCAGGGGTGGAGTTGGGGACAGACCCTGGTCGGCGTCTGCAAACTCAGAAGCACTGCAGGTGTTTCTAGCTATTGCGCTGCATCCTGTTTATATCACAGACGGGAATTGAAAATCAGTCCGTGTGAGGCAGAGACGAACCCACATCTGTTATGCTCCCCAACAATAAATAAATAAATAGCCCCGACAGACGGATGCCAGCCTATCTAGAGCAAAATTTTAAAGCATGTGCTTTATGATAAAACTAGACCCAGGGTCCGACGGAGACTGCAGGCAGCTACGGGTACTGTAGCCGCCCTGAACGTTGATGCTACATATTGCTAAGGGGAACATAATTTATAGCACAAACCCTACGGCTTCCACTAAGGTTGAGCTTTCGTCTCATTTTCTTGCCTTTTTATTGGCTTCACTGCACGGTTGCCAATAGCAACATCCACTGGTGGCAAGGGGAGTTCAACACCATCACAATCTGCCGTACACTGGAGCCCTGACAATGTCAACCATCAATCAAGTAGCTGTGTGTAATTGCCTCCATCTATTTCTCCTGTCTCGAGGTATCTTTCCTATTGTGGGTCAAAATTCAGAAACTGCTGACTAATGCCATGGGTCTGTTCCTCAGAGACCATGAAGCAGTGGAAAGGACAGCAGCGCCCTCCCTGTGCAACCCCGGGGGTGAGAGGTTGAACACTTGCAAGTTGGAGATATTTTTAATCCCTTTTCTAAATAATGCATAATTTTCCAAGACTGTGAGGGATGTGTGGTTATCTATGTACTCAGCTTTTCTACAATACACAGAAATTTTCTCAGTCCTTATTATTAATGTTTATTTCCTACTGGAGAAAGGCAATTGAAATGTGAGCCTCTTATAAAACCTTCACCTGACCAGACAATGTTTGCTTGCTCCAGTCTCTTGGCCATTAATTGTTGTAATGACTTCATCCTACTTTCTCCGTGTGATGTATTTTTTCAGACACGCTATTTATTTTCTTGTTAGTCAAAATGTACATAATACACGCACAACCTATGATGTAGCTTGCGATCCCGGCCAGGAGGGACAGCGTGCAAACTGTAAAGGGCACCAGGCAATGCACAGCCGATGGGGGCTCCCCGTCCCCTTGGCCACCAGCTGGACCTGTTCTCTTGGGACTCTCCAGGTCTTGGGTTTTCCACCTGCAAAATAAAAGCGCTGGCTCTTATTCAGTTCATTTCTGCACCAGAGAACCAAGCTGTATTTAATTTTTAAAATGATTTCTACATAAAGGTCTTATTTACTCTTCTCAAATAAAAGAGGAGCACACCCACAAAGGTCATCTTCTCTCCAAAGACAAAATAAAAAGTTACATACATGGATAGATATAAAACATCCTTACCACAGATACATCTGAGCCTGCCTCTAGTGATCATGAAAGATATGGTCATCAGTACATTTTTTTTTAAATATACCCTTTTACTTAGTAGAGGACAATTTTAGATTATCTCATATCTAGATGTCCCATAAATGGCAGTCACTTTAATTTAGAAGTCAATTTATAAAGTGAGTCAGGTGAAATTAAAATTGCGTGTGTTTTTTATTTCTAAGATCTGAGATGTCTATACATTTCCAGGTATTTTATATTTGCATACATGTTGCATTGGGGTTAGAAATAATCTTTAAGATTTTGTTAGTGTAATAACAATATTATCTAATGTTAACACTACAGGAATTCAGTTGATTTTTTTCATGTATCAAGATTTATCATACTTTATCCCCTTACCTTAGGTCATTAAACAGAGTCTGCTCAATTTACTTTGCAGTGCAATTATTTTAAAATCCATGTCTCCTGCTGACTCTTAATGAATTGCCGAAAGATATAGTCTCATCCCTAGAAATAGTGTGAAACAACTCCTTTCAAGCAGGACAGAAATCTAAACATATTGGGGGAGATTTAAATCTAAAGAAAAATGTCCGGGCTGGAAAAAATAAAAACTCAAAAGAAGATTCATTAAACAGAACAAGAACAAAACCTAATTTGGGCCCGTAAAAACTCTGGCCACACCAGCACAGGGAGGTTTCATTATCTGCTTCAGCCTAACAGCCTCTGAAACAATCGTTCTGCCACTTGCTGTCAAGCATTCCCCAAACTCAAATGCAGCAGGAAATGTAAAGGCTGAGTCTTGGCTACAAGAAGGCCAGAGTTGCCTAAGTGAGCAGTCACAGAATCCAAGACAGAGATGGCAGAAACAAAATGAAGCGTGTCCAGGGACTGTCATGAGCAGCACACGGTTCAGCAATGCCTGGTGTCCTGTTCACATGTTCGTGTTACTACTTTTCCTCAACTAGCAATTTGGGGTTACATCTTCCCTAATTTAATTTTGAATCTTCTTGCATATTTGGCACATCTCTCAACAGGGCTAAAGATCAGCTGTTTATCTGTGTGGCATATCTATACCAATATTGTCGAATGTATACACTGGCATAGAAAGAAATATGTTTATTAAGTAAATGAAGTATTCGCTGAGACCAAAATGTGCTATTTGCAGCTATCATCTATCTTTGTGTTCACTTTCTGTGTGTATATGTGTATCAGAATCTCAATTTGTTTTCTTTAGATTCAGATCAAATCATCTTTAGACGAATTAAGAAAGAAGAGAAAGAAAAAGGGAAGGAAGGAAGGGAGGGAGAGGGAGGAAGGGAGGAAGGGTGGGGAAAGAGAAAAAGAAACAGCATACAATGGAAATAAGAGACTAGGTTTTGTTAAGTCTCATTCCCATGGGGGAAAACTGCTTTTGCCGTTTTATTTTGATATACAATAATCTAAAAAGGATCCCCCCTGGATTTGCTTCCTAATTATTATTGTTCTACACAAAAGAAGGGAAATTCTCTTCAGCTGAGTTGTTTGAAGTCACTCTCTGTGCAGATCTGCCAGGCTGTTTCATTGTTGAGAATACTACCTTGCAGATCGCGGTGCCATTTCCCAAGCAGCCAGTTCATGAGTTTGAAACAATCTGCTTTAAGAGACCTAACTATCTTTGTTTTTAATAAAATGCTTAAAGTTTAAGAAGCCTCTGGAATAATCTTTCTCTCTCTTGAGAAGGGTGATCTAAAGGCTGAAAGAGGCAAGCATGCATCCGAATAGCGACAATTTAGACTGTCAATTTAGCCCATTAACCTTGTCTTGATCTGTGATGTTTGCCCATATGAGAGGGATCCTGAGACCCTCCTGTCCGTGGAGCATTTTAAAGATGACAAAAGGTTCTTCGAATTATTGAAGATCTTCTGGAGGGAGAAGCCGCGGCCGAAAGCGGGCTCCCGCGTCCGTTACAGATTGCTCGAATTTGCATGGGCAATTACACAGGGGGATCACATCAATGCAGCGCTGTCAGCCACACTGACGCCATACAATTACACAATGGCTTCGGTGCTTAAACTTTAAAATTCTTACACCATTGTGCCTGTTCTATTAGAACAAACTGCAGCAAATGATCCAAAGCCAATCCAAATGACTGGAGAGGCGGTGCCCAGGGGAAGCGAGGGAAGAGGTGCAGGGCGGCCCCTACCGGCCAGCCGAAGCAATCGCCAGTCCCCGCGTGCTGGCTGCAGCCACCACAGGCTTCTTTCTGTGCTTTGCTGCCCAAGATTTTCTAGTGGGGCCAACGGTAAGAGTCGCCTAATTCACAGAAGGGCTGTGAGGATTAATAAGGGGAGTTAGGCAAAGCAGGACCTGGTCCTAGTACAGAAAGTACAGCATAAACACGAAGCTTAGAGTAACTCTTTGTTTGGATGGTTGACTGCTTTCTTTAAATGCCAGTATCCACAGTCGTGCCTTCTCTACTAATTCCATTTATGAGCCATAATGCTATTGTGCTTCCCCTGATAATTTAGATAATAATACTGTGAACACCCAAATATAGGCAACTTGATAAAAAAAAAAAACCCAAGGTATATCCAAGAAGGAAATCTAATTAAAATATTAATAAAGCTGAAACTACCAGCAAAAAGAAAGTTCATAATGAGGTTAAATGGCTTACTATCTGAGCATAAATGTCCCCAAGTGTTGATCTGGTATACAATCTTGTTAAAAGATTGAACAGATGCTCCTAAAAGTCAATTACATTACCAATTGGCACTAATTTATTCTTTTTCCCTGTTTATTGTTGAGAGGAAGCAAGGTAACTGAGCCCCTGAAACTGGCCATCCTGAAGAAAATGGCCTGCCAATGAGAGGGAAAAGGAAAGAACAACCGGCAAATGGTTTTGCAGAAGGTCTTCCGTTATCAAGGAAGATGTCTGCCCACGGCTGTGGTAGTTGAGATGTTCAGAAATGACCGATTTACCAATAGGAAAGGATCACATTTGTGGGATAAATAAGAAATCATACCTTCCAACTGTTTTACAAGACAATGCCGAATAGATTACACATACAAATAGAACAGGATTTGATCATCTCACGGTTTAGCAGGCAGAAACATAAGCATATGAAGAACCAAACCTCATGCTTTTAGCTCCTACACATTTTGCCTGAATGGAACTCTTCTACGTGGTAAACATGCCTCCCTCATGCAGCAAAATCCATCGAGCCCAACACCGTTTCCTCAAAGCCTCGTTTCTTTCAATAAGGCACTAAATCATTTTATCTCAACCACCAAGTGCTTTCTTATTGCTAGGAAAGGTACATTTACTTTCTGATACATGCTCCAGTTTTCAAGATTCTGTTGGAAACAAAATGAGCCCTATGACATTCTATAATATTCCATCCCATTTATTACTTTCCAGAATTTCTATCATTAATTAAAGGGCCTTCTTTCACCCTCCCCCCCCCAAAACGCTAATCTATTCCCCAACTGCCTATCAGAGACTAAATAAAAGTCAGTGTTCACAGCAGCAGTGATGGTCATGCCAATTTCACAGTGTGATTTGTGCACTTATTTCATTTTGAAAATGACCCTGCCCTCCATCTGTCTAAACCGAATGCCCTGCTTTTTTCAAGCCAGGCCTCAGGAACAGTAGCACATGAAACAAGGGGAAAGACACAGAGCAACCTCCCTCCTGCCCCTGTCGGCTGCCACGCCCACAGACAGGCACCAACACAGAGGGGCCCCCAACTGACGCCTGAAGGGATCAGCAAAATTTGGGGAAGAGCAGATAGTCATCCTATTTTTCATCCATTTCCAAGAAGCCATTTGAAGGTGAATGCTTTCATGATATAAATCCAATTCTGAAAAAAAGACTGACCAAAGATAAAAAGGTAGTTTCCCATTTCAATGTTCTGTTGTCTTACCTTGATTTAACAGTAACTTACCCAAAGTAACAGTTAATACATAAGGATTTTAAAATACTGTGCCTGAGTTTCCAAGGGACAAATGTAGTCAGGCAGCCATAAAGGTGAAGATCCTCCCACACCCACCCCTCAATTATTGGGCAGCACTAATCAGCCTCTGTCAAACCACATACCTGCTAAGTTGAAGGCCCTAAAAGGGTGCACCCAGAGGTTGGGTTGAAAGAATGTCTGAGGAGAATTATAGGAGTCTTCATTGCCTGTTTTCTCGGGGTATCTCAGGTGTGTGAGAGCCCCCACTCAACCCTATGAAATATATGTAGTTTGTTCCTCTCTTGATATTCATACAGTAGCAAGTTCCTTTTCTGGTCCCACTCAGAGCTTCACAGCTCTGCCAATTTCTCAGCAAGAGAGAAGACTGAATGAGTACATAAAGTCAGTTGTTTTTTGATATGAACAATCACACACCTGGAGAAGTCTCCTCTTAGATACACCAGGTGACTGACTAGAAGCTATACCACCCCACCCACTAATTAATTCCTAACATCTGCTCACAGCTGCCATTCCGATCTGGAAGTTCAGATTTCTACTGCCCACACCAAGTCGGTTGGTTGGTTGGTTGAATGTACGAAAACGACACTAAGCTTCCATTCTACAAACGCTAGGCTCTTACAAACTCATCTAAAGGGGATATACATAATGAGTTACTTACCAGTCACTATTTCCTACTGAAACTAGATGTTGGATATCCTGGCACAGCTGCTACCTATCTAACTGTGTGGTCTTAAGCAAATAACTTAAACCTTTCCAGTACACAGATTCTTTACCTGCAATATACAGAATATGGAGCGGTTATTAAGATCAGGGAAAAAAAGGACATAAGTGGTCTAATAATACAATATGGTTGGAGTCGTGTCTAAAATTTACATATAGATAAGCTGCATGGGCAGCAAAACTATAAAGGAGGAAGATAAAGGACTTGCACTGAAGTCTTTTAAGTATACAGCAAAAACATGCTTTTATTTGCACACCGTTTATCTTAGGGACTAGACAGGCCAATGCATATGATAGAAGACCAGTGGAGATCTAGGTAGATCAAGGAAGAATGGTTTCTTTTTTGTATTGAAAGCCAGAGGACCAAGGCAGGAGATGCAGCCAAGTTTAAACGCTGCCATCTGCTCTGTAATAATTGTTTATGAAAAATAAGGGGATGGAGACACTTGAATCTAAAATTGAATGTCTCACAGTACCATATAATACAAAACCATTTCCTACAGTCACCTGTGAAAACGACAAAAATAAAGACTTTTGGTCTCTCCATATTACCTTAGTAGAAAGTATGCACTCGGGGCAGCTCGTGTTCCCTCTCTCGCTGTCTCTCTCTCTCTCTGTCTGTCAAATAAATAAATAAAATCTTAACAACAACAACAACAAAAAACCTACTCTAATTCCAGGGCAATTCAAGGAGCTATCCACCTTTTCCTTCCCGCTAATTCACAAGCACAAAACACGAACCGGCACCTTTGTATGCATTGCAAACTAAAAAAGGCTTAAAAAAACAAAGGATTTCAGACAATAACCCTTCCTCCCCCACGCGAGACACCGAAATGATACAACTGGCAGCCAACAATCTCCATAAAATACAGGTGGGAAGAGGTACTGAAACCTCATCTCCTCCCATGCCTGTGAGTGGGTGCCGCGAGACTAGGGCCCCAGCTACAGCGCGGTCACGTTCCGGCTACGCCACAACTAGAGTGGTGCATGCCGGGAAGTGGAGTTTTCATCTCTGAGCTACCTAGAAGAGTGTGTTCAGTCTTGCGTAACAAACGGCCTTAGCAGCCTAAAGTCTTCGACGATAGATTTAATAATGGAAAGACTAACTTCACTGATTACTTTTTATTCCTAATGGGCTTATTCCGTTAAAAAGAAATCTCAGGACAAGCAGCCTTCCGTTTCCGGCGGGCTTGTTGCCGTGGTAACCAGCGCGCACCAC